GCACCACCACCTGGAAAATCAAGAATGTGTTGCATGTTGAAGAGCTGCTCAGATAGGCTGGGGTATTTTCTCTTGCATCTGGTGGCCTCACAATAAGTATCCATAGGGAAAATGGTGCAAAAATTATTTAAAAAAAAAAAAAGATTGCTTGAAGCTTCCTAGGACTCCTTCTTAGGGATCCTGCTGTGGTCAAAAGAAACTCCAAATTTTTTCTACCACTTGCATGCCCATTGCTACATGTCTCCCTGGCTCCGTTTCCTCACTTGGCATTAGCACATCCATTTGGTCTGCCTTTGCTTGAGGGTGTTCACTGCTTTGTCATGGCAGAGGAAGGCTCTACCTCCAGTTCTATATATCTATGCTTCACTGTTCGTGTATTGGCAGATCTCCTGAGCCTCAGGTTGGGTGTCCTTCATGCACTTTGAACCTGTTTGGCAAAAGTAGCAGGCAAGGTACTTTCTGCTTTGAACAGAAGGTCTGGCCTGGCTGGGTCTTAAGAATAGGAATTGGATTCTTTCCCAACTGGAATGACAAAAGAAGTAACAGATGGAAACTTTTCAAAGAAAGAGCCATCCTGGAACTAAAGAGAAATTTCCTGCCAGTGAGAACAATTGATCAGTGGGTTGGCTTGCCTTCAGAAGTTATGGGTGCTCCATCACTGGAGGATTTTAAGAAGAAATTGAACGACATTTGTCTGAAATGGTATAGGGTTTCCTCCTTGGGCAGGGGGTTGGACTGGAAGACCCCCAAGGTCCCTTCCAAGTCTGTTATTCTGTATTCCAACCTGTCCACTTTTAAGAATCTTATCTTGCTTTTCTAAGGGCCATTTTCTTGTGGCAAAACTGGATATACATGAATAAGTCTGCATTTCCCCCCCTCCCATTGACAGCTATGGGATCTTGTCTTGCCACAGAAGTTTTAAAGTAGTGTAACATATAGCAATGAGGATAGAGAGTTCTAGCACAAAGTTCTGGACCGGGTTTAGCATACATGCATGAACAAACCGAATTCTATCAACCCTGTTGTAAAAAAGAAAAGACTATTGCGTTTTCCAGAAATGGACTTTTAAATCAACCCTCTTTAGATGCCAATAATAATATCTGGAGCAACACCATCAGTATTGACAAAAACCACAATCAGTCCATTTCAAAAGGCAGTTTTACCTGGAAAAGCTTACATCAGTGTTTCTCAACCTTGGTAGCTTGAAGATGGATGGACTTCAACTCCCAGAATCCTCCAGCCAGCACTGCTGGCTGGGGGATTCTGGGAGTTGAAGTCCACCCATCTTCAAGCTACCAAGGTTGAGAAGCACTGGCTTACATCCTACGCTGATACCTTTAATACCACCAAACAACAACATCTGTCAGTCACAGATACTTGGGAAGGATTCGATAGACAAAAATGCCAAATTGAGTCTAAACATCTGGCTGACTATATGACAAACCATAACGAATAGGATTTGCAGGTCCTGATGGGATGGTTTGCCACTCCTCACCAGTGAATTGATGAGCAACATCCAATGAGTGCCCATAATGGTTTGTCGCTGATAATTAAAAAAAAGTGGCCACCATTGCATTCATTAAAACTGAACATGAAATAAATGTTTCCAAGTTTGGCCATTTAGAAGGTAGAATCTTTCCAGTTGATAGGAGCAAACTGGGTGAGGGAAATAGGGATTAACTAGGAAACAAGTCTGTATTGTAGAAAAGCATACCATCTAACAAAGCGTAAGAGTTTGGGTGCATATCATCATGGGTCTGTTAACTACCTTTTGGGCTGCTTTATTGACCCTACAAATTTATTCATGCAATGCAATCTAGTTACTGAAGCCAACCATTTTCTGGATTTTCACACTACACTGAACCATAAACTAAGCAGTGGCCTTGGTTCCCACAGCCTCCTAAGCCATAAAGTATAAGCCAAGGTCACCCATATAGTATGAATAGAGCTGCTGTGATCGTAATTGAACTTGGGTTAAGCCCATTGTGCAGAGATAACTATGTCTATTGGATTTTAGCACACCCAGATTTTTCTTCCCTTTGTTTTCATGTTTGCAATCGTGTTATAAGAAGCCTGAAGTTGCACTTGTGTAGGTACACATCTTTCAGAGTCTCTTATGTGGTGTGTTTAGAAGGTGTGGGATAGAAGGAGGAAGGTGCTCGGTGTCAGGTTATTTTCAGAATTACGAAGTACCCAAGCCTGGGGCCCAACTTTTCTTTTGACCAGAAATACATCGGAGAATATACTATTGGCTGCTTTGAGTCTCTAGAAAGAGCAAATGCAGCCGGCCATTTTATTTATTTATCAAGTTTTAAATTTTATGATACACTATTTTGCCGTGAAATCTAGAAAGTTTTCCCTCTACAACCTTGTGCAATCTTGGGGAGTGTTTGTGCATATATGCATTTGGTTGCAAGTGCAATTTTAAAGTTTAGAAAGCCAAGTTTTTTAAAGGAGATGCAGTCGTAATGTCTTAATACATAAATCTATCACGGTTTTAGAGGTTTTGACAAAAGAGCAAATTAAGATTGTGGGAGTAGAATTGGTGGGTTGTGTTCGCACAATATACTAAAGCTGAAATTGGGGAGGGCGGAGAAATTAACTATCTGTGGTATGACAAGCAATCTCCAAGTAAACTAGATTGCCATGACAAGCTGAGATGGTTAGATTCCCATAAGACTGAACCAGAGTTCTCCACCATCCCATCCCATCTATATACTACTAAATCTCTCAGGTTTGTCCCTTCATAATCTTCTACTGGGTAAAATGGTCATCATAGGACAGACATTTTTCAACCAAGATACCTCAAATGGAGTAACTTATCAAATGTATCTAAAATCCAGAACCCATCAACCTATTCTCCAAAGCACCTGAAAGCAAGACAAGAAGCAATGGATGGAAACTAATCAAGGAATGAAGCAACCTAGAACTAAGGAGAAATTTTCTGACAGTTAGAACAATTAATCAGCGGAACGACTTGCCTTCAGAAGTTGTGAATGCTCCAACACTGGAAGTTTTTAAGAAGAGATTAGATAACCATTTGTCTGAAATGTTATAGGGCAGTGATGGTTAACCTTTTTGGTGCCAAGTGTCCAAAGTGCGCATGCATGTACACAAATGTACGTGCATGTGCCAGAACCCCCAAAATGCAATGTGAGCGCTCCCCGTGCTCCGTTTTGGGCCTGGAAAGCCTCTTGCACCAACCTGCATCCCTCCATGCATGTGTGTGTCCCCCTGCACATGCACGCGTGCGTCCCCCCATGTGCCCCACCCCCCGTGCATGCGCGGCAGAGATCTGAAGACCGGCTGGCCGGTGGGAGGCACGTGTGCATGCACAGTGGAACTGGGCTGGGGCAACAGCTGGCGTGTGCCACCTGTGTGCCACCTGTGGCACGAGTGCCATAGGTTCACCATCACAGGTATAGGGTTTCCTGCCTGAGCAGGGGGTTGGACTAGAAGACCTCCAAGGTCCCTTATACTGTTACCAGCAGCCTACCGGTTTGCAGGCTCATCCCACCTTTCTAACCCTATCTTAAGACGTGCAATGTTTGGAGCAAGGTGTAACTTTAAACGCATTTAATTGAGTATTATTAACGCAGGCTGACAGCCCTCTCAAACCCAGGTCTTCCTGGAAACGCCTGGAATAGAATCTGGTACCTTTCAATGTGCAAAGCAGACACTCAGTTGCTGATCTGTGCATGCCACTGAGAATAAAGAGGAGGACACAAAAGTCTGCTTCCCTTCTCTCTGAGGACGATAGCAACATTCACAAAGCTGCAGGAGTGGAAACATCACAAAGGGGTAACCTGTCAAAAGCTTTCTTCACAGCACATTTCTGCAGGAAAGAACCGTTCTTTCATCTTAAGACAACTGGGTCTCTCCCCCCACCCCCATATATTAAAAAACATGCACACATCTTTTGCTGAATAATTATGTCCCCAAATAAGTGGATAAGGTTTTAGGTGGCATCTCCAAAGCTTTTGCTTGCTCTGCCCATGGGTTGGGTTAAAAAAAAAAAAAAAAAGCTGGCAATCTTTTATTATTATTTTTTACAGTATTTTAAAAAGGAAAGAACTTTCCTTGCTTATTTATTATTTTTTTATGCTTATTTATATTATTTCTTAATCAAATTTACATAGCCTCCCCTATTTCACAACTCTGGGTGGCACAGAACAATGTATCTCCTAGGACAGGGGTCTCCAACCTTGGCAACTTTAAGCCTGGCGGACTTCAACTCCCAGAATTCCCCTGGGGAATTCTGGGAGTTGAAGTCCGCCAAGCTTAAAGTTGCCAAGGTTGGAGACCCCTATCCTAGAAGCCACAATATTGCTCCTTCTGGAAATGTACATAAATTAGAATGTATCCATATGTGATGTTGGTCAACACAAGACCTTGTGTATTTTCCTCTCACCTGGATCTTTGGCCGAAGCTGCAGCAGCAGCTGTGTTGAGGGTGCTGACCCAGCTTAAAGGAAATACTAGCCTTGCTTTTAATTAAGAGCAACTGCTTTGCAATTTGCCTTCTTGCTCTCGGTCTTATTTATATGCTTGCTGATCACCATGAAATGTAGTCCCTTACACCAGCTTTTGCCACCTTAGTATCATCCAGAGCTGCTGAGATGGCTGCTTCCCAAATGTCCAGCCAGAATAGCTATAAGAACTATTGTATCTTCACAATTTTTCTGTGAATTAATCATAACTTCTAAGTTGGCTTCTGTCATCTGCTCAATACTACAAACCAGAGAGCTTCCCTTCCCTTCCTTTCCATTCCCTTCCCTTCCCCTCCGCTCCCCTCCCCTCTCCCTCCCCTCCCCTCCCCTCCCCTCTTTTTTTTTTTTTTTTAATTTGATTTATATGCCGCCCTTCTCCGGAGACTCAGGGCGGCTTACAATGCGCTAAGCAATAGCCTTCATCCTTTTGTATATTTATACAAAGTCAGCTTATTGCCCCCACAATCTGGGTCCTCATTTTACCTACCTTTGAAAGGATGGAAGGCTGAGTCAACCTTGAGCCTTGGCGAGATTCGAACCTGCAGTAATTGCAGGCAGCTGGTCTTAATAACAGGGTGCCTTAGACCACTGTACTACCAAGGCTCTTTCCCCCCACCTTCCCCCTAACTAACTTTGGTTGATGTTCACACAGTTTACAAGTTAGCTTTCATTCACCATCGTGAGCACTTTTATTTATAAATTTTACATTGAAAAAAATTATGTATGGGGCAGTCATCACTTCAGGTGGGTCTAGTTATATTGCTAGAAATGAAGCAGTGATTTTATTTTTTTTTAAAAAAAGGTTACTTTGTAAGATGCTGGTATGATGCATATTTAAATGTACCTTTGATCCTGATCTTCGTTGACTCCAATGAAAAGAACAAGCTATGCTACTTGACTTTGCACCAACTCATAAATTCCACCACTAGCGGTAAACTAAAGAGTCCCTCTTTGAGGGAGGTGGGCAGTCCAGATATACAAAACAAGAAACAAACCTTTATTTACATGTTCCTATTGCTCCCCCTTCCAACTTTTGAAAATTACAAAACTTAACTTCATATTGAGTGTTGTTCTAAATAGATTTGCATTTTGAAATCATCTTTGTTTATTACATAAATCTATTTATTTACAAATGTCCTTTATTTACCTGTTTCTCCCTCTTCCACCACCCCCCTCCTTTAAAAGAAAAACAAAGCTAGCTTCGCCTTGTAAGTTCTGGATAAGTTTGCTTTTCAAAAAAAAAAAAAAATCCTTTTGTTTATTTCCAGAAAGCCACATGCAGCTTTGCAAAATCTCCACTAGGAGGTATTTTTTATTTAAGAAAAAAAAATACTTATCAATGCTGTTGGCTCCCGCTTCTCTTTCTGCATGTGGTACCACGGGAGCGAAAACAGCCTCTTGAGCACTCCACGAATCTGGTGATTGATGGGCTGCGGGGCTGGAGGAGAAGAGAAGGATGAGGGGCTTTGGGCCACCCACGTGGATCAAAGGAGCTGGATAGAGAGCAAGATAGGTGAGGGTTTTGTGATGGGCAAGGAATGATCATCTGTGTCTCTGGGATGGATGGGGGGAATAACTAGACTCCCTGGGTTTGGGCGAAGAGGTAGGTGAGGTGACAGAATCTGCATCTGGACCTGGAACTGATTGTCACAGCTGGCAAGGTGATACCAAGCGCGATGCCTTATCTTGGCCGACGCAGTGCATTCCTTTCCCCCCGTTTAGAGAATATCTAGCTTTACAAGGTAGACTTTTTTTTTTAATGCTGAAAATTAATTTCCGGCGCTGTTTTAATTTTGCTGTATTTAATTTGATGCTTGCTTTAATTAACTGCTGGGTAAACCTTCTCCCAAGCTACTCTCAGATGCTCATGATTGCTGGAATGATGGGCTGGAGGAGGCCCAGTTTGGTTGGTTGAGGAAGGAAGGGATGGAGAGGAAGTCTCTTGGGTTCTGGTATTCCCCCACCCACCCACCCACCCATCCCTGCTCCCTGGTTTTTCAACCCAGCCTGGAGATATGGTGCGCGGAGGGTCTTTCGGTGATGCTTAGAGCAGTGTTGCTCAACCTTGCCGACTTTAAGATGGGTGGACTTCAATTCCCAGAATTCCCCAGCCAGTTGGGGAATTCTGGGAGTTGAAGTCCACCCATCTTAAAAGTCGACAAAGTTGAGAAACAGTGCTTGGAGGATCAGGATGCCGAGATCCTTAAAGGAACAGCTCTTTATTCCATGTACAGCTCTGTCCAACCTCTAAGTCGCTTACTAATTGAGCTGTTTTTGAGACAAGATATGACATTTTTGAATACAAGACGTGATGCCACCTCCTCTTGCCTTGCCGTAAAGGGGGAAAAAATGGAGGTGGGGAGAGCCCAGTGTTTTCTGTTACGCTGTGGGTTATTTTATGCTGTGGTGACTCTGAGCACTTAAAAACTCAACTGTCCTGAAGGTCGATTTAACTCAAGGACGATCTTTCCTGTGGCTGAATGCTGTGTTTGGTCTTTTGAGTGATGCACTGAAAACCGCAGTCCAAAAGGGCCAGGGAGTGGGGGTGGGTGGGGGTGAAATGCTTGAAGCTGGAACAAACAACAGTCAGTTTGATTACTGTAGTTAAGGAACAACTCTCAAGAGAGGGGGCAGGAGACTCTGCGGCTGCACCCGGTGCTTTATGGGGTTGCAAACAACTTTAGGACGAGAGAGGCTGTTCTCGTTCATCCCTCCTTTTTATCCAATTTTCTCTTGTGTTGTAAAATTGTGGCGCTGCTTCTTCTGCACTTCAGATCTTATAACTGTTGGGGAAAATGCCAGCCAGGCTGGAAGGAGGGGTCAAGTGAGGGCCTAGCTTGGAGTCCTTACGCAAGCAGTATAAGCTTGACTTCCCCCATGATCCATGAAGCCTTATCCGATCATCCCCCGGGGGGGCGGGGAAGGCAAGCAATCTGGCGAGATGCTTTTGTAGCATGTAGCAAACAAAGTTATTGACTTTGGCTATTTGCAAGAAGCTACGGTTTGCTTCCTCCTGACGATAACCCAGAAATCCTGATTCTGGTACTCCCCAGCTGCTCTGAAACACCCCGTTCAGAATGGGGAATTTTATCGGGGTTACCTTGGGAGATAACCGCCTCGGAGAAGGTGGTGACAGCCCCATCTCACTGTCAGACGTCCTGCATACCGCTTGATCTGGGGAATAAATGGAGCTGCAGCAGTTAAAGACATTCAGCTCCTGTTTGGGGGTGGGGGGGGGGGGGCTGACAGCATGTAGAGTTTGGTGTGACACACTGGTATTCCCATGTTTACTGCTGCAGCCTAAGCAACGTGTAATGAAGTTCACACATGCCTGGAGAGGCAGGCTTTTCTTTTACAGTTATTCCCAGGGTATTATGATGCCATCGAACACAGTACTACTTTTTAATAATTAAAATGTGAATTTGGGGCTGAAGTTTTTCCAGCTTCTTTTTTAAACTGAAAAACACTGCACGATTTTTTTTTTTTAAAAAAACCACATCCTCTCGGCTTTGCCATGCTGGGCTGGTTTAACCTCTGAACGAGCCCCCCACTTTTCTGGAAGAAACTGCTTTACAACAGCTTGCCCATAACTTGCACATGCCAAATCAGCAAGGTATTCAGGAAAGGAATGGGAAAGGAAATGGTTTCTCCTATATTTCTTCAGCAGATTCTGATTTTATTTTAGTGTGTCTGGGGCGGGAGAGAGAAGTTCAGGCAAAGTGCTAACCCCTAAATCTAGGTTAAGAAAAGGCATCGGCTGCGTTCACATTAGATTGTTTGACCTAGTCTGGTTTAGGTGCTGGCCTAGAAACCAGGAGGCTGTGAGTTCTAATCCCGCTTTAGGCATGAAAGTCGATTGGGAGTTTGGGCGAATCACCAGGAGATTGTGAGTTCTAGTCCTGCCTCAGGCATGAAAGCCAGGTGGATAACCTTGGGCCAATCACTAGGAGGCTGTGAGTTCTAATCCCGTTTTAGGCATGAAAGTCGAGTAGGTGACTTTGAGCAAATCACCAGGAGATTGTGAGTTCTAGTCCCACTTAGGCACGAAAGCCAGCTGGATAACCTAGAGCCAATCACTAGGAAGCTGTGAATTCTAATCCCACTTTAGGCATGTAAATTGCCTGGGTGACTTTGAGTGAATCACCGGGAGACTGTGAGTTCTGGTCCCGCCTCAGGCTTGAAAGCCAGGTAGGTGACTTTGAGCCAGTCCTCCTATCTCTCAGGCAAGCCCACCTCACAGGCTTGTTGTTGTGTGGAAAATAGGATGAGAAAAGAGTATTGTGCTCGGCCCTCCCGAGCTTCGTTTTCGCTGGCAGAGGGTTGCAGGAGGCCGTTGCAGCCGAAAATGGAGCTCGGGAACCCGTTTTCTCTGGCAAAGGCACAGTGGGCCAATCCTTCACTGTTTCCAGGGCAACCCCATGGGCCAGATTTTAGCACTCCATGGGCCGCATCCGGCCCCCGGCCCTTGAGTTTGACACCCTTGGAACTCCGTTGGGATCTATTTCAGTCACCCTTTCCCACAGGATTTAAGCTGCGCCGGAGATGGAGTCTTGGTTTACGAGCCAGTAAATGGCCATCATTTGCAGTGCTGGCCAGTTTGATGCAGCAGGTAGATGATAGAAAATAACGTATGTGGGGGGGTTTTGTGTATATGTATGTGTGTACTCTTCCGGGCAAAAGAGGGTTGAAAATGGGAGGTGAGAGTGAGAGAGATGATACTAGGAAAATTTAGATGGGGCTGCTTGAGGGAGATAGGGAAACTGGTGTTTAAAAAAAGGATGGAGCTTAACTTCTAGAAGCAGAGAGGCTGCTGGGTGTTTACCCAGGATAATTGATCACTAGGTGTCGTTGAAACAAAATTGAGGTAGCTCAGTTAGGCTGAGAGAAGTTGACTGGGGCATCTATCAGCAGATCCAATTCCATTCTTCACTCTTGACTTGTTCCCGGGTTAGAATTCTCTCTTCCTTCAGCCCTGGATGTCAGACTGGGAAGAGATAGGACCATGCACACACACACAATGAAGTGTGTCCTTGAACAAATTCGGGGTGGGGGGTGGTTATTTGCAGCACTTGAAATATCTCCAGGGAGGGGACGACAACCCTTTGCAAGGATTCAGATTCAGGGTGGAATTCGACAGGGGTGCGCAAGGTTTTCCTTCCTTTCCTCTTTCACACATGGGGGATACGGCATCGATTCCTTGTGGAAACAGTAGGAAGTGCCCTCCTCAAAATGTCAACACAATTTCTGATCTTCTTTTGGTCTGGGAGATCCTCTGGAAGGATTGCGAGCCAGAGAGAGATGACGCAACTTTTGTCTATCTTGTGGGGGAAAGAGCGACAACGTCATAAACATCCTAAGGAGAAAAGAACATAAATGCTGCCCACTCTTTCTGGTCAAAGGAAATGGGGTGATGGTATGGAGAAGGCTTCCTTTCAGTCTGGACAGGAAATCACACGCACACCATGTGTGTGTGTGTGTGTATGACCTTGATGTATGCAAGTGGCTTCACGTGGCATGTTGAGAAACCATAGTCTGCTTATTCAGAATTAGCTGCATTTTTTGCGTGACATGTTAACAACGGTGGCATTCAGCCAGTTCGTGCGAACAGATAGCGGCGATCGCAGGTGGACTTGCCCATCCACCCTGTCTCTATGCCATCCTATTTAGCCACATTTTCAAAGCCGGGCGTATATGTGGAAGGCACATGTGCGAGCAAAGCACATCCACGGAAGGCCAGACGCCTGCGTGGAAGGGGCGTGCGAGAAGCAAGCGTGCACGCGTGGGGCGAACCGGTGTTAAAAATAGGTGAAACCCACCTCTGCGTGTTAAGTGGGTTAAACAGACTGTGGGTCGCAAAATGTACGTAGTAGGTGGGTTTGCAAACACGTTAAGCCCGAATAAACCATGTTAGGCTGCACTGCGATCGGTGGATGTGGAGAAGCAGGCTGGGATAAAGAGTTGCTCTCCTTAGTGATCGACATCCAGGTTTCCTGCGCAGAACAGCTTTCTGTGTAACAAATGTTGTTGCTGTGAGAACTGATGCAGTTGCTGTGTAGAAAAAGCATGTGGCGTAGGCCCTGGGGGCCTGCACTGCCTCACTGGGAGTATTTGAAATGGGAATGCTTCTCGTTCAAAAGTCCTGGGTTATTTGGGCTGAGAAAGAGGGCCTAAATCCATGGCTCACTCGCATATAGAAATCAGTTGTAATGTCTAGCTTTATTCTTTCCGTAATCTCGTTTTCGGCATGAGAAGTATGAGCTGTGAAATATATATTCCCTTACCTTTATTTATTTGTTTATTTTTAAAAGGGTGATTACAGCTTTGAGAGGACTGGTAGCCTGTTTCTTTTTTCCAAATAACTGAATGGGCTTGGATTCTCTTGAGTTGTGTGAGTCCCAGTATTAGCCAAACGTATAAATCTAAAATTAATCAAGGGAGTTGGGGCGTTTTCCAACAGCTTTACAAATGCAAAGCCTATTTGCTTTCCTGGTCTGCCCGGCTAGGAAATGAGTG